AATGAAGAGATATGTCTTGGAGAGGATGCAGGTGGAGTGCCCTTTGGAGGTAAGAATGATGGGGCTTTGCCTCACATACTTTGAACATGTTGCTAGAAGGTGCCATTCCTTGAAGAAGGACATGATGCTGGGAAGGGTGGACGTTTGGTGAAGGAGAGAAAGACCCTCAACCAGGTGGACTGACAGAGTGACTGCTGCAATGGGCTCTTCTGTGTCAGGAAGTGTGAGGATGGCACAGGACAGAGCAGGGTTTAGGGCTGTTGTACATAAGGTCGCTATGAGTCGTAGGTGGCTCGATGGCACATAACAACAACAACAACAACTAGGTTCAGATCTTTCATTCATAGAGTCACTATGAGTTGTACTTGACTAGATGACACCTAACAACAACAACAACAACATAAGCTTCAGGTACAGACCAAACTTTGAAGGTTCTGGGAGTGACAGGAATAGTGCCAGACCCTGGGGGTGGTTTACTGGGGGCCCTCCACCCCAGTGCGTTCCCACTATACTTCCTTGACTGTTGTCACTCCCAAGTACAGATAACACTACACCTATGGTGTGCATTAAGTATTTTATTAAAGTAATTTTTACTGAACAATTATTTTTGAATAAATGTATCCTCCTGAGTCAGCCAGTGGTTATTATTTTCCCTCCATTGGATAGTTCCTGATTTTGTCACACCCCCATCAAACTCTGTAATCCCTGATTTCCCCCTCCTTTCTCGCCTTCTGCTCCCCTGCCCCTCCCCCTTTCCCTTTCTGGACACACATCTTACTATTTTTACAATATTGGTCTTATGCCGTATTTGTCCTTATGAGACTGAGTTAGTTCACTTAGCACAATTCTTTACAGCCTCTCCCACGTTACACAGTATTTTATTAAATCATTGCTCCTGAGTGCTGTGTAGTATTCCTGCTGCAATGTGTAAAAGTACCATTAAAACAAAACAAAAGAAAGCAACGCATATCACAAATTTGCATGTCATCCTTGCCCAGGGGCCATGCTGCAACATTCCAAGTTTACGTGCTGCCCAAGTGAGCACTACTTACATATTTTGACACTTTTATTGTTACATAATAAACTCACAAGAAGTTGCCGGAATCACGTTGACAGTTTCTGTGCACCCACCTCTCAGCCTCACCCAAAGGTGCTGTCTGATGTGGGGTGAATCATTACAGCACATTCTCAAGCCGGGAAACTGCCCTTGGCATGATCTGATGAACTCATCTGCAGATTCCACCGGCTTTCACACCCATTCATAATTTTCTCTTAAAGGAGTTGATTGTGTTTTGTTTTATACAGGAAGAGTGAGAACTCAAAGAAGAGAGGAGAAATGCCAGGTCTCTGCAGTCCCCATGCCGCATTCGGTGTGGAATAGTCAGTTCCCCATGGCAATGATTTCTTCTGTGGAAAATGAATCAACATCTCCATTTTCTTCAACAAAACTCGGTTGGGACCCATTTCTTCACAGAGCATTGCATGAACCAGTCAAGACCGTCTGCCAGCGAAGGAGCCAGAGCTCACATTGTAAGCACAGTGTGAATGGAGCAGGCCTGCGGTCCGCCTCCTGGAGGTGAGGCCCATAAGCACCTTGTACCTGGTCCAGAGACAGAAGAGGAGGAATCAACACACAGGGGCCAAAGTCACACACTGAGGGAAGGCACTTCCGGCTATTAGGACACCCTCCTCTGGCAAAATAAACAGACCCAGTATCAGCAGCCTGTACGTTGGCATTAAGAGCAAAGACAAACACTCTAGAAGCCAACAAACAAGAGACTCTAGGATTGAATGGCAGGGAGGGAGTTCAGAGGGCTTTCTAGAGTTCTGGTAAACTGGCCATTTTAGACTTCATGCTCCCAGAAGGCAGGCTCAGGGCTGGGAGGGGTCGGTGGTGGGAAGATGGCAGAAGTGGGAGGGAGGGGGCCAGGTCTACATACCAGGTGACCTGGTGGCTGTGACCATGGCAGTGGGTATGGGGGGGGTCTGAGGGGGCACTCTTCCCCCCCCCGGGAGGCTGACCTGCCCTTGTGTTCGTGTGTCCCCATGGTGACCCCTCACCCCACCCTAGCGGCTTCTGTGCAAGGAATTGACCAATTTCAATTTGGCTAATTATTTCCTTCTTCAGAGAAGGTGAGTGGGTCTTGCCCAAAGCTCCCTGCTGGGCGAGAGCTCCGGACATTAGCTTGGTCTTCCCACTTGGTTGTGTGTGTGTGTGTACCATCAAATCAGATCTGACTCATACAGGAGGAGATTGTCCCTCCTTCCCCGGAAGAGCATCTGGTGGATTCAAACCATGCACCTCTGGGATTGTAGTTGCAGCTCCTTGCCACTAGGCCACCAGAGCTCCCCTCTTCCCACTCGTTTGAGGATCTCTGGTGGCACAGGGGCTAAGCACTGAATAGTAACAGAAATGTCAGCTGTTGGGACACACCGACTTTTCCACAAAAGGAAGTTGTGGGGATCTGCTTCCGTGTAAACCCCACAGCCACTGTCGTCTGACTCCCCCATCACCCTCACCAGAGGTTTCGGAGGCTGGAAATCCTTCCAGAAGGAAACTGCCCAGCTTTCTCCCCCAGACCACTGACCTTTCAGTTAGGAGTCCTGCACAAGGGCTCCTTGAAATGTGTGAGACCAGCACACAAATAAAAAGCAAGAAAAAGGAAATTATGTGGATACAGATTTTCTGGTAACTTCACTCCTGTGAAATAAAATAAAAACTTCACTGTCCATAGGACAGTGCTAAAATAATATTCAAAGGGAGATGAAAGTGCTCGGGAACGTTCTGCAATTTTATTTATTAATGTTAGCTGTTTTAGGGCATGTTCTTTCATCAGTTAAGATACTTTCCTTAATCAGGGACACCTACACAGGGTCCCTGTGTGTCAGATGGGTGTATCCAAGGAAAACGTCTGTTCAACGCTAATCCCTCTCCGTGCCTATCTGGTGGTTTGGTCTTCAGGTGAGAGGAAGGAGGTGTGGGGAGGTGGGGGACCAGCTGGGGACAGGCCCAAGTCAGGCGTAACCCATGATTAGGGGAGAAGGGTGCAACAATGAATGAATGGAATCCCAAAATCTCTGTAGATGTTCATTGAAATGAAATATAAACAACCTAAAT